CTGCTGGTTTGAGTTTGTCATCCCTTGCAACCACGGAAGTTGGAAGCCTCAACCTGAACTGATGGCTTGCCAACCTGCATGACTGTGAGCCAGTTTCTTGAAATCTTTGTTTACATGTGTGCATCCCTGGTTTTCCTCCTCTAGCGAACTCAGGCTAAGGCACATTACATGAGTTACTTTACAAGTTAAACTTCTGCAAGTGATAGAGGTTCACGTTTCTAAACATTTTTGCTTACTTGCAGTTTGAGTTCAACTGACTACCCATATAATTCTGTGCACGAGACTTCCTAAAATCAATAGGGCGTATAATATAGAGACATTGCAGTTTGACTCAGTTTTAAAGGCTAAAAATATGGCCACATGTCATTTTAAGGAATTTAAATTTAAAGAATACAGCAGTTACCTGTTGCCTATTCTTTAAAAACTAAAACCAAGTAAACAGTTTACCTTATTCCTTTAAATCACTTCATTAGCTCACTAAATCTGGCAAGAATATCTTGAAGGCACATATTCTTTCCTAAAACAAAGTGATTGTTGTGTAGCTCAGGAAGTTCATTTCAAAAACACTTGCTCGAGAGCACTTCTTGAAATCAGTTGGATTTCAAGATAAGCATTGGTCGGCTAACTAAGATCAGCAGTGAAATCCCACCTGCAGCTGATAAGGCAGTCCGCTCCATAAAAACGTACAGCCTCAGAAACCTGGGTTAACAGTTACACCTGTCTCAGAGGTGTATTACGAGTCAGAATCAACTGTTTGATAGGCATCATTTCTTTCAATTCTATTAGGATTTAGCTGAAACACCCAAGTCTTCCCCCCAGCTTGTATCAGCTTCATCTTCCTAAAGGCAAAGACCTGGACTCAGTATTTCAACTGGGTGAATCCTAGTAGGCACTTCTTGCCACTTTAATTTTGACTCACCTGAACTGATCCGTGTATGCTGACAGCACCGCAGTCCTAGATGTACAGGTTGTAGGTGCTTGTGGGATTTTTAAAGTGAACCCGTTATGAGAGAAATGAATTTAAAAAAAAGTCAAATTGAACCCAGTTGACAAAGATGAAATGTTACTAAGAACGATCATTATAAAATTTTTCTAGCTTAAGCGATTTGTTATCAAGCACTGCCAGTTACATGTCCACATTACTGCCAATCCTAACTCTGCTCCTTGGACACTTTGGATGTCCAAAATCTAGTAATAAACTAAGATTTTTATCCATTTTTTAAAAAAATTCAAACACTTATGCATTGCTTGATAGTGAATGCCTCACATCTTAAATTGTTTGAAAGTTATGAACACTAATGACACAGGCCCCCAAATGTGCTTGTCATTCTAATATTGAAGGTGTAATTTTTTTTATTCCTTGGGGAATCAGAGAATTGGGCTTTTGAAGTTTTATTTTTTATACACTATGCTTAGCATTTCCTTTCCAGGTTGATTCCACAGATTTTAAAATTATTTCTTAAGTCCTGTTAAAATTGCCTGACCATTTAGTTATACCACATTGCTTATGAGCCAGGTAGTTTACAATGCATTGAGTAAAATGGGTGTTGGGATTAGATGCAGAATGAACACTTCAAATTTTCTGTTACTTCAATGTGCTATATGAAGGGGCTTCACTAAAGTCCATGGAAAAGCGGAATTTTAGAATAATTTTTCCACCTTTTTGAATCCCGTTGAAAAACTACTGGCTACAATAGCGTTACGCTGGTTTGCAATAGTGTGTAGGCTAGAACTCCACATTTTAAATAGTAACTTACTGACAGATTGTGCATCTTGTATTGTGCAAATTTGTATGCATGCATGCTGGCAAATTTTCCAGTCCTTTTTTCCTAAATCCCAATGACTTGATGTTATAAACTAAAATTAGGCTGAGATACCATTACAATAAATGTGATGTTATTAAGTGATGTTAAATGTGCCCAATAGCGTTTTTATTTTAGTATCACTAGCTTCAGTGATAAACTTGGTAGCTAGTTCAGGCTTTTCCCTTTTCTACACAATGGTGCTCTTTCCTACTGTTTTCAAAGCATCTCAACGCTTGTGTTTCCTTCTTACCCAGAGGCATCCATATTGGAGTAGGGAATTTTTTAAACAGTTGATGTATATTAGATTGCTCTGTTACAGCCTTCTGAAATGGTTTCTTCGACTAAAATGGTTCTGTGTACTTGTGGCTAGTTGACTGAAAGTAGCAGTAATGTTAGGGGAAAGGCAGACATGCTAGAGCAGTGGTTCTCAACCTTCCTCATACCGTGACCCTTTCATACAGTTCCTCATGTGGTGGTGACCCCCAACCATACAATTATTTTTGTTGCTACTTCAACACTGTAATTTTGCTTCTGTTATGAATTGGGCGACCCCTGTGAAAGGGTCGTTCGGCTCCCCAAAGGGGTCGCGACACAGGTTGAGAACCGCTGTGCTAGAGTAAAGCTTCTCGAAGAGCTTTATGCCAAGCAAAGGACATGCTTTTGCTGAGACTCAGTGGTGTTTAGATCTTCTGCACAATGGTTCATTTATTTGTACAGTAGCTCAATGAAATAATGTTGCTGTGAACTGATACTGTAGTCAATAAAGCGTTTTTAACCATATTTCATTGTAGCATGTTTTAAACTAGTTTTTCATGGAGGCTTTAAAAAAATTAAGTCCTAGGATTAAATTTCAAGACCAGCCAGTGTTTTAGGCTCACCCCGAATTTGTCTAGACATAGTAATTAGTTTCTTCATGAAAAATTAATTTGGAGATGACTGGATTGCTCCGGACCAGCCATGAGTACCAGAAGCTTCTTCCTGGGTGACTACTGAAAGACCACACTTCAAGCCACCTTTCTCCTGGAACTGCTTTAGTTTCTTTAATTTGGTTTCGTTCTGCAACCGGTTCTACGGCTTACAGTGACAGGGTGGTGGTTTAAAAATAAGTCTTACTGCTTTCATGCCCCCACCACCCCGGGGGAGAAGGGGCAGATTCGTCCCACACTGACTGCACAGTAACAGTGCGGGTGACTAGGAAGGTCTGCTGTTGCCTAGGAACTGACTGTCACTGAAACGGAATGATTGGTCAGAGGGGTTCACGATGCTTTTTGGCTTTTGTCTTTATTCATTTCCATAATTTAAGTTTTTGCTTTATTTTTAAATTAGTGTGAGCCTATGAGTCCAGAGCAGGAGAGGCCTAAGTAAAGCGCAGAAATAATGGCCTCGAGGGTACTTCTGATGCTCTGCTGACTGGGAACAGAGCTCACACACACCTTCAGTGGCAGGACTAACAGGGACCACCTATCAAAATGTGCTCCCTGAGAATGGTCTGTAAGATCCAACACTAACGCTCACTTACATGTTAAACACCTGGCCAGCTGCACTAAATAATGCCGTGAGAAGGAAAAGTCAGTCTACTCAAGATCACTTACTGACCACAGTAAAAATGACAAAAGATGAAAAATCTCTAAATACCAGCATACACGTGCCATTATCAATACATATATCAACTACCAGGCAATCAGGTTTATTTTATTTTCTCACTGCAAGCTTGCATTTTTTTAAAAAAAGTACTATTTTGTAAAAAGTTTGTTCATACAAAGTTTATAAATAATTCTGCAAACATACATAGTAAATAAAGTATATGAGCAATTACCTTGAACCACATCCACTGTAAATCACATCTTGTCTAATTCATGAGCTTGGTACTTATCTTCAGGCATAAAGGGTAGGGTTTCATCATTTCAGTGTTTCATTTCCAACATTCATTCATTTTTAATAGGACCAGGAAGGAACTACATCCAAACCGTGATGGGAAACTTACTGCACCAGAACCACTGTATGGTAAACCCCTCAACTGTAATGCACATGATCATCACCTGGAGTCCTTGCTAAACAGACTGCTGCGATCTGACCTTGTGCTCCTGATTAACTGGGTCTCACATGTCTGACAAGTTCCCAAACGATGCTGACAATCCAGGGACCAAACTTCAAGAACCACTAAGGTCACATCAAGCCACCCGCTGCTTCACACGGTCAGGGCCTTGAATTTGTAATTGAACTGGGCAGTACCACCCAGTGTTGGCCATCAGCTTTTCATGTTACTGTTGCTGGTGGCCTGACCCATTAGTAATAGGATTATAAACCAGCAGCAAAAACTATAATATTCACCGGCACTTGAATACTGCATCTTATTTAATCTCACTTGCATAAAAGTATTTTTGCAAGTCTTCTATAACCTAAACCAGGGGTCCTCAAACTATAGCCCGCGGGCCAAATCCAGTGTGCATAGGAATTTGTTCATAGTTTTTTAGAAAAACTATAGTCCGGCCCTCCAACAGTCTGAGGGACAGTGAACTGACCCGTTTAAAAAGTTTGAGGACCCCTGACCTAAACAATGTTAGTCTCTCAAGATATCTTGAAAACAATTGCACCTGCTTTGAAAAGTTCAAACAACATCCAGCATCCCAAAAGGCACAGATAAGGAAGTGCTAAACAATTCCATCTTTCTTGTGTGTAACAGAACATAAGCTGTACTTAGCCAAATAGACCGGGTCCCTAGGGATGCTGGATTTCTAACAAGCTTTTAGGTGACGCTTTATCTGCTGGTCCTTAGACTACATTTTGCACAGCAAGACTTCAGAATGATGTCATAAAAAAAGAAACAACTCCCATGTTACGTTCCAATCAATTTCAAACAGACATACCCCTATGAATATTTCGATACAGAGTGCATTAGTCATTTGTAGCCTGGCCCTGGCCGTTTCATACAATAGAAGTAAATGCCTCTCCTGAGACAAGCTGCCACTACACGGAGTACCTGCCTTCGGAAGAGCTGCTCTGGCCCGTTGCTGCAGGGCTCAGAACCAGGCCCCTATCTTTGCATGTTTTCATTCCTTCAAGCTCTACGCAGAAAACAGAAAAGCTTTTCTTCCTGGAATCAGCTGATGAAGCACAACTGAAAATACTGCTTCAGAAACACACCAGTGACTATTTAGATCCAGATTAGTGGCTATTTATAATAACAAACCTTTATGTTGTTTTATATCAGCTTTAATGGGAATCAAAGAGGGAGTAAAAACAGCATATTTATTAGTGGTTTACATTATTGCCATGACCGCAAAGGTGACTGTAACTTGAATAATAAAACACTCGAGAACATTCCAAATTCCTCCTTGGTGACTAGAGCAAGGCTATTGATAAACCAAAGAACCATTCCCATTAAAGCAGGCATCAAAAATTAGTTCTGAGAAAAAGGTGAAAGGAGCCTTGTCTGCCTCCTGGATGCCAGGACGCAGAGCTTTTCAGAATCAGAAACAAGAAAGCCCTCCTGAAGAGCTCACGGCCCCACCCCTCAGGGGTATACTTGTTGATTCTGTTGCTTTTAGCTAATTGGTTATTTTAAAATAGTAAATGATTTGGCCTCTTCTTTACCTCAAATTAAAACGAAGGACAGCAACACATTACAACACTCTTCCAAAACACAAACACCCTGAGATATCATTACCAGAATCTGCACAGGGTTTTGTGACTTAGGTAAAGTTAGTATAATTCATATTTAAAGTCATTTCATAAAAATAACTACTGTTCCAATCTTCCAAACTCTGCTCCTCTGCGGTGGTCACTGAAGCAATCGCTCAAGAGTTTTCTTCACTGCTTGAATGTAGAAACTGCTTAGCAAAAGTTTCCAGCTCATTTTCAAGTTGAACAGCTTTATTTCTGATTAAAAGACAAATAAAACATCAGTTTAATTATTGTAAAGGTCAATAAAGAAAAACACACAAACCCACAAACTCACTAGCCAACACGCTCTATTTATCTGAAGCCACAACTAGCAAGGGACCGCACGTGCTGCTCTGGCTTTGCAGGACACGTCCCAGTGTTCAGGACCCAGAAAGTTATAGTGAGCTAAGAGACAAAAACGCAAGATTCCAAATTATCATGGTATTTGTTTGTTTAAAAATGTTTCTCGGTTAGAAAAAAGAATAATTAGGAGATCAAAAATACTGTAACTAATTCAAAATAAAAAGAAAGTTAAAGAAAAATTAAGATTATTCAAGTCTCTTCTGGTAAGATCATAAGACATTTTCAATACCAATCATCTCTATCACTTATGTTTTACAATAAGATGAAATACTATTTTAAACCCGACTGAAATCAAACAAAATGTTTTATGGGGCACAGTTTCTCCAAATTTGAAGGGCATATCTAGGGTGCTCTAACTTACATAAAAGAGAGGCCAGGAGAGAATGAGCTATTCCCATGGAGGGGCTGGGTGGGTGAGCGAGGGTGGTGAGAGTCAAGTGATAGGCAATCACCTCTTCCAGATATGAAACAGGTGCGGTGAGCAGGCGACTGCTGATCATGGGTCAGATACTACTGAAACTGTTTACCATATGTCTGCAGTTCAGATGTTACGGTTAGTCCCTTCAAATTGCAAATACTGGCTATTACGTTTGGGCATGAGTAACTTGTATGCAGCGTAAGTATTGGTAAGAGATTAAATGATGCTTAGTGGTTCTCCACATGTGTAGGGGAGCCAGTTACTGGACACCAGAGCTGAAAGGTAAGAACTCATGGTGACACTTCTCATCTTGTCCACAAAAGCAAAAATTTAGATCTAAGGAGACCACTAATCATGTTACCTTATAAAATCTGTATTAAGAAATCTCATTTACTTTTTGCGTCAAATTTACATTTACACAACAGTTCCTAATGAGAAAACAGCTATGAAACATAAAAACTAAAAGCCCACATACTTTTAACTAAAACTGCTCTAAAAAGGGACTCTCATATAGCCTAACAATGAGCTGCAAGTACAGAGCTCCAAACTTGTTTTAACCAGGCATCACATAGGATCCCAATTGTCAAGGCGCTGTTTGCTGTGTTAGGTGCCGGGGGGGTGGTTATGAGTCACAATGAGCCCAGGCACAACAGGGTGAAGCACTGGGCCAGCCACACAACTGACACTTTGTGTCAGTCCATTCATGTGGTGCTGTCCTTTCAACGACTCGATTTTGTTTTCCTTTTTAGTAATCCGTTTTCATGAAATTGCAAACACATGGAATTAAATTTGAAATTTTAAACTAAGGTAGGGGAGAAAGCTCATGGTTTCAGTTAAAATTTACTAGTGATCCCACTCAATTATATTTTGTAATGAAACCAACTAAATGTTTGTGTTATTGAGAAATTAATTCAAATACCGTAAGAGCTTTGAATTATTTTGTATTTTCTCCAACTGATCTATTTCTTTGGATAATCTAGCAATTTCTTCTTCCAGATGTCTTTGAGTAATATCAACTTGTTGGCACAGGCGTGCAAAAGTGGTAGCCATCTCCCTTTAAAAAAAAATTTTATTAGCAGTCATGTCTTTTGAAACAAGCTTTAACTTAATCTTTATATGAAAGGGAAACACAAGCAGTAAAAAGTAGCTAAAATGTAAGATATCAAAGAACACTGCTGGAATAAAAAGAGGTATGGCATTTTTGAAGCTTAATAAGACGACAGGCTTAATGTCCTCTGGTCTCAAGATAATGAGATAGTACTGCCTCTTCTCTACAGCTCCACAAGTAAATTATAAAAAGGCAGACGATGAGTATTTTTCTTTTTCGCAAGCACAATTACCCTGACCCTGCTATAAAAGTTATCAATGACCAAGAACAGGGGGGGGAAAAGTCATCACCTCCTATGGCCCAAGGAGAAATACTTTACATCCTGCCTGAGTCAGCGATGTCCTCTCGGTGTCAGCACGCACGTCTGTGCCTTCACACTGCGAGCACGCAGTGGGGTGTGCGCCCCCGGCACATGACTGGCCCACCTAGTACTCTCTTGTCCCTGCAATCTTACTCTATTCCCTGGGAATCTTACTTTATTCCCTGGTTTGCTTCCTCACCATTTCCTTCCCAAATGAAGTACGTTTCACTATTTTAACATTTCTCTAAATATTAAATGAATATTTAGCTAAACAGCTTTAACTGAATGATTATTTTTGCTTACCTCCATTAGTGTAAAATTCTGCAAGAGGATCAGGTTATTTTACACACTTTATTTCCCATAACACCTAGCAGAGTTGTCACATGGTGTACAATTAATAAACGTTTGATGGTCAAATAAATGGAAAGCTAACTTTATGTTTACTCCTGTGATCCTCAACTGATTTTTAAGATGCAGGTATCTTTAGTACAAACAGGGATTCTCCTAGGAGCACTTTAAATATTTAATATATGAATGATTTGAGTTTCCTACTTCCATTCTTCAAAGCTCTAATTCTGATTGTGTATCTAAAATAAAGCTTAACTCATTTCTCTACCATTCCACACACTACACCAGAGCCACGTTACTTTTTCTAGAGCTAAGTGTTGATACCATCACTCTCAGGATGTGTGCCTTGTGTACCCTGACTTAACTAGAGTTCTATCTCTTAACGAAATCAATAAACAATATTTAAAATGCATAAAAGCAAAAGCTGAGTGGATTGAGTTGTTTATTTCTCTTGAGTGCTAAAAATTTGTATCTTTAAAGTTATTTGTGACAGTGAAAATATATTACAGCCACCAAAAATTAAGAGTCTATGTTTTGAGCCCACTGGTGAACTACAAAGAATTCGATCTCTACAATTTAGAAGTGGCAATGACCTTAAGTGTAGGACCCTGAATTTAGGAAAGGTCTGAAAAAAAGTCTTTAGAAAACCCTCGGGAGTCCTGGGGAGCCCCTCTCCTTCAATGTGCAGATGTCTAGCGGAGAGTACAAAGTTCAGTAACTAGGAGAAAGGGAGAGGGGATCCGAAGTGAGGCTTCTGAGATTTGGTACTGTTATTTCTTCACTGTGATAAGAGTTGCAAGATGTATTCATTGTGTGATGGTTCTCTGAAGCAGACACTTATCTGTACACTTTCTACATGTATATCATACTTCAAGGAAACTTTTTTCAAAAAAGCAAAAGATACATCTTTCCACTCACTGCTGTACTTGATGGCTGCAGTTCGCACTTGTGAAGCTAACAATCATCTGCAGTTTTTCAGTTGCATAGTTCACAAACTGCTGCTTAAAGGCTCTCTCCTTGGCATGGGTGGTCCAGGAGAGCCGTTCATAAAGATACAAAGC